AAACACACACACATACACACACACACACACACACACACACACACACACACACACACACACACACACACACAATCCAATACGCTGAGATGTCAGCGCTCCAGCTGAAAAACCATGCTGAAAACACAAAGGCAAAGCCTGTATTCACATCAGCTGGCACTGTCACTGACTGTCCACAGCGCAGACTTTAAAGAGCTTAAAGGCAGACAGTGGGCCGATAGAGGAGTATTCTTAAAATGTAAAGAAGATTCAACTGCTATGTTTTTATATTGAATAACGCATGTTTCCTGTGGGACTAGGATAAAGGCAAGATTAGCGAAGAACAGTGCAAAAACATGCATATCTAGCAAAGCACAAACACACTCATTAAAAACCACTGACACAGAACTGATCTGTTACTTTCACAGCTTGGAAAATGTTTCAGAAGTGAAACACATGCAGACAAGAGAAGAAGAAAGACAGGACAGGACACAATGGTTTCATCATGCTATGCCCAGCGTGTAACAGGAGAACAATTGATATAAAACACAGTGTGACAATGTGTCAGAATAATTTTCAAGTCCTCATCAAACGTAAACATATTTCCTATTTCACAGTTGAAGATAAGCTGGTGATGTTGACAGGAATAGAGCTGAGGGAAAGTTCAATCAGGGTTGGACTTCATTCATTTCCCTGACGTCTTCATTCAATTACAATATAGCAATGACTTGTTTGTCCAAGAAGGAAGAGGTTGTAAGAAAAGACTTCAGTCCCATTGCCCCCAATAAGAAATGTGATATATTAAGTCTGATGTAATGGAGAATTAAGGAGCAGAGCATTCATTAATTTGAAAAGTCTATGAAAGCAGTGAAGCACCTTGTAGACAAAACGTGTAAAACAGTGTTAAAATAAAACAAAACAGGGTGATGGAACATCATTGGAATTCTAATCCTTTACTGCTTTGATTGTTTTTTTACAGGCCGAAGACTAAATAGCCCAGAATCTTTGCAATATTTCAAATTGGGAATTAAAGAAATGCTTCACATGTAGTTCCAGAGTAAAAGAACGGTTCATAGTGAGACCCAGATTTTCTATGGCGCATTTAACAGAGGAATACCATTTCAAAGCAATATGAAATGTGTAGTTGAACATCTCCTTGTAGCACTGTAGCAGTGAGGTACTTTTAAATATCTCCAGGGAACAGGCAATGTTTTGCACAGCGCAATTGATCCTACACCTAACCAAGTTGGGCTTTGTAATCAATTGTAAAAAGAGCACCCCCATACCTCACCAACAGGCGTTGTATGGTGCTCGATGCAGGCGGGCTGTGCGCCACCCTGTCAGAGAGCAGACGTGCGTCCCTGCTTCGGGCGGTTCATAGGCTGCGACAGGGGGCGACAGTGACAGCTTTAACTGTCATGCAGACTCTGGGTCTCATGGCGGCTACTCACGTTGTGGTCCCGCTCGGGTTACTGCATATGCGCCGCCTGCAGAGGTGGTTCTCCAGCCTGCGTTTGGATCCCAAGAGTTACAAACGATGTCTAGTGACCATCCCCCCCTCAGTGGAGGGCAACCTCCGGTTTTGGGGGTCCCCGGATCAACTCCGGAGGGGTCTCCACTGGGACGGGTGACCTCCTACATCACAGTGTTCACAGACGCCTCCAGAACAGGATGAGGAGGGGCCTGCCTGAAAAGGCCTATAGGTGAGCGCTGGTCTCTGACACTAACACGGCACAGCAACCTCCTAGAGCTACGGGTAGTAGTGTTGGTCCTCCAGCATTTCATGCCCCTAATTTGGGGGGGGACATGTACTGGTCAGGAGCGACAACAGCACCACAGTGGCTTATATCAACAGGCAGGGTGGAGTCCGCTCCGCCGCCTTGTTGACCACAGCGGGGAAACTGTGGTTATGGGCTGCAGAGGTGGTGTTATCTCTGAGAGCCCTCCACATCCCGGGACTGGAGAACAGGGGGGCCAACCTCATGTCGAGGGGCGGCCCCCTGCCAGGCGAGTGGGTGCTTCACCCGGAGGTGGTGAAGCAGGTCTGGGCCCAGTTCGGGGAGCAGGGGTGGACCTGTTCGCCAGTCGGCGCAACAGCCACTGTGCCCTGTGTTTCTCCATGGCTCTTAGCGACGACCCGGCCTTGGGGGTGGACTCGTTCGCACACGAGCCATGGACAAGAAAGCTGCTATACGCCTTTCCACCACTGCGTCTCATTCTCCCTCTCCTGGGGAAAGTGAGGCGAGAACGTCTGTAAGTCATCCTAGTAGCACCGGATCGCATGGGTGCACCGTGGTACTCAGAGATGACACAGATGAAGGTGGGCCAGCCCTGGGCGGTTCCCCAGTTCTGGGGGGCGATGTCTCAAGAGGCTGGTGCAATCGGGGCGTTACCCACTCCGGGCCGTCCTCTCCAGGATTGGCTCCTGAGAGGGACAGGCAGAGACAGGGTGGATTGTCTGACTGTGTTATTCCAACACAGTCTCACTCCTTGATATTCCAATAGCGACGCTTGGTCAGGGTCCTTAGGCGTGGAGTTGTGACGCGCCGAGGCTCCTTCAGCTTCATAAACGGACGCAAAGAGCTTTCAACTGATTGCAATGTATTCCCATCGGCGACGGTATTTGACGCTCATGGAAGCACCTCACCCGTTTANGTTGTGACGCGCCGAGGCTCCTTCAGCTTCATAAACGGACGCAAAGAGCTTTCAACTGATTGCAATGTATTCCCATCGGCGACGGTATTTGACGCTCAGGGAAGTACCGCATCGGTCCATGTTGGCGGCAGTTAAAGGCAATGTGAGCGTCCATTTCCATTGGATAACGGAGGATTTTACACCCGGAAGTAAGTATTCTCCTTACTGTCGATTGATTTGACAGTGATATCTGCACTACTTATCAACTCAAAAACACCAGATTATCCTTGTTAATCACACAACATTGATTGGTTTAAATTGTGAACAATGCTTTTGTATTTTTCTCCTTTGATTCGGAGAAACAAGTATTCTTTCTGAGTTTAGGATTGCCGAATACACTACACTACCCAGAATCCTCAGCTATCGTTCCGCTTTGCTCGACAAAACCCCGTGATTAGTCCTCAAGCTCTGTGATTGGTTGACCTCCAACTGCATTCCATATGAAAAAAACGTTTCGTAAAAGATAAAATCATACTTTATACAGCAGTGCTTGCTTTACTCTTTAAAAGTCGTCACATGAATGCATTATAAATGGTTCGGCTGCATTAAATATTACACATCTGTCGTAGTTCTTTATTTATCTACAGAGATCGGCCTCAGAATAGACCGGAAACAATTATTTTAACGTTCTGTTTTAATTTCACAATAAAGTTAGTAGTAATAATCTGCTTTGATATTATTGCTTTGACAGTTTTGAAGTCTCATATATGAGCGATGATCCCTGTCCCCAAAGGTCTTTTATTTTGAAACTGTACATCAGAATGTCCTGATTTTTTCTGAGTGACTACATGGGGTGTCCTGCTATCACCCTGGAGTGAGATGGATCTATGATACTGGACAGTTTTTGTTTTATTCTCATCTAAA